CTACGCTCCGCTCTAAATCTGCATATTACGGTATATTACGGTAGGTTAAGGCAAGCTCGGCCGTCTGGGGTGCCAGCTCCTTCGGGGCGGGAGGCTCCCGAGGCCACGAGGACCTCGCTGCAGGGGGCGCCTCGGACCACGGTCTCTTGAAGAGGCGTACCCGGTTTAGGTTAGGGTTTAGGGTTTAAGGATTCTGGAAGGAGTCTTTCAGGGCAGATCCGTAGACTTCCTGGCACATCTAACACGATTACGGGAGTGTGGATCGCTCCTGGCGCAGACACCGCATGAGTTCAAGAGACAAGGTTTTGGCACCGCTTCGTTGCCTCTCAATTTCGAGTCTTGGCAGCTCCCAACTTCCACCGCTCCCTCAGAGACAGCTGGGGCCACAGCGACGTTCGGCGCAGGGGTGTGGAAGCTGAGCGTCACGGGCCTTGGCTGATACTTCAGCTCCGAGACTCAAACGACACTGGTTCCCGGAGAAAAACTGCTCCTGTTCACACCTGCAAAGCCTTCAAAAAGCCCTCGAACTGCAGCTCTGAAACCTGATACTTATTGAACGGGCCGCAAATTAGGATACACTGGCATGTTTGGGAATGTTGCAGTACAACTACATGAAAACTAAGATTCAACTGGGCAACACATCACTTCTGGTAGTTCTTTGCTCAAACAGTCCAAACCTCTGCATACAGCTGAGGCCACCACTCCGTCTCCTGCGAGGCCTCACAGCAAGGCAAGTGTCATAACCTGGAAATTTACCTCCCCCAGGCTACAGGGCTGCTCACGACCAAACAGGGTGTACGCAGGGTGGGGGTCCTGGTGACTGGGAACCCACTATTTGGGATCTACATTCGGATCTCTTGTGTTCGCTCTCACGCTCCCTGCGGCTGCCGGCAACTTCGCATCTCAACTACAAGTATTCTTCTGACCGGACTGAAGGCGATGCCGCGACAACCCCCGAAGCCCTAAAACCTTATGTCCGCCTGCAGCGATGGCAACTCGGAGCCCCCAACTTTAGCTCCCAAAAGCTCACCATGACGAGGGCAGCACAGCCGGGATGGCCAGTGGAGACGGTGTGTGGAACACCACCAGCCTGAGACTCTCCGTGCCCGTTATGTTATGCATTTGTATGTGTGAATGCATGCATGCATATCTGATGTGCGTGCATGCATACATACATACATACCTACCTACCTACCTACCTACCTACCTACCTACCTACCGACCTACCTACCTACCTACCTACCCACCGACCTACATACGTACATAAATACATACATACATACATACATACATACATACATACATACATACATACACACATAGGTAGGTATGTTCACAGGCATGCCTGCATGCATGCATGCAATCATGTGTCTATGCAGTCTGTGTGTATGCGTGCATGCTCCGTACATGCATACGGATATGTAAAAGTATGTGGACCTACATGTAGTTGTTTACGTATGTATGTTTAGATCTACATTGATATCCACAGAAACACGTACATAAGGTATGATAAGTCCACGGAGAAATAAACAAACAAGTAGTTCCTGAGTTGGTGCAAGTAGATGGATAAGCAGAGATACACCGATCGATAGAACGGTAAATGTGCAAACACATTTTAATCGACGAGCAAACATAGAGGTCAACAAGCAAGCACATAATTGCACAGTGATGAATGGAATGCTTGTAGATTTGGTGCAGGGAAAGGAAAACACAAATGCAATGATGGGTAGATAGATACTGCTCTCATTGCGAAAATCATGGAAAATCTTTGCTCTTCTCTCAATAAGCCTTACTTTTTTCTCACCTCATCCGTGGGCGCGGGCTTTCTTGAGGTGGATGTGTGGCTGCTTTATCAGCTCTGCATGTGGGTTTTTGCAGGCTCTTGTGAAACAGATGGCTGGCTTTGTGGGGCTGGCAGGCAACTACCACGTGAGCCGGGTTTCCGTGTGCACTTTTTTGGGCTGTTCCTGCGCCAGACTCAATTGACAAATCTCCAATAGACGCTTAATTGCGATCCCAAGCATCCAAACCTTGCCGCATCAATCACACCTCAGCCAGCCCCAACACAAAACCACACCGCTCATGAAGCCCGAAACCTGGGCTCACTACGAGATCCACAACGCCACCCCTGAACAAAACCCATTCTGCCATGCTGACCCAGCGAGAAGGACAAAAAGGGTTGGTTGCGAATGCCCTGTAAACTCCACTTTGTTTTCCTAAATTCTGTTTTCCATCCAGGCTCTTGCAAACCTCCAAACCGGCACAAATCCCTGAACTCTTTCTGCAGCTGAGACTCCTTACCTGACCCCCTGCATTTCCCGAAAACTTCTGAAAACCCTATGGTCCATGGTCCAGGGCTCCCAGCTCTTCTCCGTCCGGCTGGGTCAAGGGGGCGGCCGTGGTCGCCAAGGTGCTCGGAGGCCTGGAAAGCGGTTGCTCCTGGCCGGACTCAGGGCTTTCGGGTTCAAGGGCTGCGACTGGAGGATTCCGGGAGATCAGCGGAGGTTTTGGGTGTTAAAGCCTATGAGGCTTTAGGACTTAATTCGGACAGTCCAAGTGAGGATGCAGAGAGTTTGGGAAACAGAGTTCGGGATGTTCGTAGGGCCACCTCCTCCATCCCGTACTGCGCAGTACGCAGAAAGTTTGTCACTTGCATGGCACATCTGAGCTCTGTGCGGGGCAGCCCACAGTCAGTTCTGACTTGACCTGGTCGTCTTTCGAAACCGGAACTATCCCTCAACCATAGCTAGTTACCCAGTTCCTCCTACCGGCATGACACAGATAGGGCAGAAACTCCCAGTCACAGGCCGTTAAGAGACCCGACAGTGGGGCGACCAATCAAGTGTTGGCAACTTACATTCCCAAGAGCTTGGGGCAAGTCTCGAACCTGGTAATCCCCGATTACGAAAGACTAGCGGACTAGCTCATGTGGACTTCAGACATGGGTCACCAAATGAACAAACAAGTTGACAGCTGCTGGATTTCCAGAAATGACTGGGAGCCAGGCGAATGCAAAGTACTCCTGGTCCGCATACCTGCAAGGTGCATGGGCCACTCACCAAACCGGCCGCAACTGAGCTCGGCCCCTGAGGCTGCAGCCAATGATCTTCCGATTCGCAAGCAACAGGCTTCAAGTAACATACTTCTTCGTTCACGTACCTGAGCGCAGCTAGGTGTGCAGAAAGTGTGCTGATAAAGAGAATCACACACCACTGCTGTCGGCCATTGGTGGGAGATAACCCTCTGCTTCCATTAGTGCTGTCAGAAGCGGCATCAAATTGAAAAACACGCTGAAAGGCGTAAGCCGAGGCCGGGACGTTTGCACATGGTGACAGTCAGCACGTTCCGAACATTTCCGCTTGCAGCTCCCCTGCCGCTTGGCATTGCGATTGCTAAAAAACAGCGTTCGCATGCACAGTCGTCGCATAAGCCAACCAATGCCACCGACACAACTTGAAACCTTGCCCTGGCGTTTGTCGCTGCTTTGACAAAACATCGTCCACAGACTGCACCTGACTGAGGCAAAGCGCGTCGGAGCCG